GAACATCTGTTTCATGGGTTGATTGTTCTCACTGTCAGAAAATTCCTCCTTATTTGCAGGTTGAATCTCTCTTTGATCAGCTTCCATCCATTATTCCTTGTCTGGCCTTCAGGTCGTTTGGAGAATAGCTTGACCCCCTCATCTCTGTGGCAGCCCCTCAAATATTGGAAGACTGCTATTTATGTCTCCCCTGGTCCTTCTCTCCACTAGACTAGCCATGTCCAGTTCCTGCAACTGTTCATCGTATGTTTTAGCTTCCAGTCCCCTCATCATTCTGGTTGCTCTTCTCTGCGTTCTTCCTAGAGTCTCACTCAACATTTGTTTTATAGTCTGGTGACCAAAACTGGATGCAGGATTGCAGGTGTGGTCTTACTAAGGCTCTGTAGAGTGATCCTATCTGCGACCTTCCCAGCTGACTTCCGACAATCGAAGTCAGCGGGAAAACCTGGATTGACCAACACTCACTTACCAACTGCCTTGCTCAGCGACAAAAATTGCGGTTGGATAAAAAAAAGAAGATGCAGAATATTTTCAAACATATTTTCACTGATCTTTTGGTTGAACAATAGAGGTAGAAATTCGGAACTGAAAAAAATACTATGATGTAAACGAACTCATCCAGACAATATGCTGTTCACAAAGCACTTATGTATGGAAAGAAAAAATCGTTGTCGTAAAGTCGAGGAGTACCCGCATTTTGTGTGTTGGTGGCATCACGATGCACGCCAATGCCGCACACGAATGCCCAGGTGAGGATTTGCACGACCATGCAAACGACGGGACTGAAGGCCAAGGATCCATTTTGCATCCCAATAAAAATTGACGTAAACTGCCGTAAACGAGATTAAAATCCCTGGGAGGGAAGGGTTAATTTTTTTTTAAAGGCCTCCACAGGATTAATTTTGGATGCAACAGAGAGTTTGCAGCAAATGTCTGCAGAAGTTCCAGATAAGTTCCAAATTATCTTATTATTCTGCATCTTAAGACAGGAAACCGGCCCTCCTATCTGATGCTATCTGAGTCAGTAATTGGGAAAGCGATGCTCACCATTAATTAAAGATTCTGGGATGACATATACGGCAACCTTCCCGCATTTTTTTTCCCCAGGGATAGCAGAGAAACATTGCAGTTCTGTAATCTTTGGGGATTTATTAATTCATTAATTGTACCTTATGACTATTATTAAGTGTTGTATCTTATGATTCTTGATGAATGTATTCCATTTTATTTTTCTTTGGAGCATATGCACCAAAGACAAATTCCTTGTGTGTCCAATCACACTTGACCAATAAAGAATTCGTTTCTATATCTAATTCTATTCTATGCTATTCCCTATTCTAATCTCTATTCTATTCTATTCCATTCCATTTCTATTTTCTATTCTATTTTATTCCCTATTCTAATCTCCATTCTTATCTCTATTCTATTCTATTCTCTATTCTAATCTCTATTCTATTCTTATCTCCTATTCTTTTCTGTTCTATTCTATTCCTTATTCTAATCTCTATTATCATTATTCCTATTCTATTATCTTCTCTTCTACTCTATTCATTAAATTTATATAGTTGCAGGGTTACCAGAATTTGGGCAGGGCATGCCAATCAAACAAAAATAACACTAACAAAGTCATTAATTAGAAAATGATTGCATTGGAAACCAGATCCTAACAACAGGAATATAATATTTTCAACTCATCCAACATTTGGAACGTAGCAAGAGGCAGGCGTGGATAAAAGTCCCCAAGAAGCAGCACACATTAATATTTCAAGCGTAGCGAAGAACCTTTAACCAACATCCCTTGAGCGGAAAACGTTTTAATTTTCTTCCCCCACTCTCCAAGCTACCTGCTTAAATGGAATACCCTCATGAAAAAGGACTTATTTCAGCAACGATCTGTTGTTGTTCTTGTTGTTAGTTGTGAAGTCGTGTCTGACCCATTGCGACCTCATGGACAACATTCCCCCAGGCCTTCCTGTCCTCTGCCATCCTCTGGAGCCCATTTGAGCTCATGCCTGCTGCTTCAGTGACTCCATCCAGTCACCTCGTTCTCAGTCGTCTCCTTCATATTTTGCCCTTAATCATTCCCAGCATAAGGCTCTTCTCCAGTGAATCCTTCCTCCTTCAAAACTGTCTGATGGCAGCTGGAACCCTGGGTTTATTTTTCCAAGAAAACGAGCTGAGAACGCCAGCGTTCTCATAACATATCTTTAAAGATCTGAACATCAGCCAGGGAGGAGGAGAAAAAAAAAGGGAATTTTAAAAAAACCCAAAAGGAAAAAAAAAATTGATTTCTCTCTGCTCAGTTTCCAGAGAAAGCAATAACTGGAGAGAGTTCAAAGCCATCACCCATTTGGCAAGCCTTCTGTCTCTAGTGCTGATTGATGGGAACCACGAATTCTTTTCTCTCTCTCTCTCTCTCTCTGCATGCCTGGGGATGTGCACACCAAGGAAAATGTCTGAAAAGAGCTCCAGGGATGACAAAGCGCAGTTCACATTTCCTAAGGAAGAGATACAATTTGTCTTCTCCACCCGCCGAAGAAGACCAACCACATTCTGAGCCTGGTTTGAGTCCCTCCTGGGCCATTCCTTGTTGATATGATTGCTTTCAAGGCCAGCCAAAAGACTTTAGGAGATGTTAACCATTCCAGTTCTTCTTCGTCATCTAGGACAATATGGTTGGCTTCAAGGCCAACCAAAGTTGTTTAGAAGGTAATAACCATCTCAGGTCTTCTTCATCATCTAGGACAATATGGTTGGCTTCAAGGCCAGCCAAAGGTGTTTAGGAGGTATTAACCATCCCAGATCTTCATCACCTTTTTGTGCCCTCATCAATCTTTGACAACACCTTTCAGAACATTCTCCACCACAGGTTCTGAAAGGTGTTGTCAAAGATTGATGAGGGCACAAAAAGGTGATGAAGATCTGGGATGGTTAATACCTCCTAAACACCTTTGGCTGGCCTTGAAGCCAACCATATTGTCCT